CACTAGAGTCAAACACTTCCAGGCCCATAAATGGCATCACTTTGTCCAAATGGCCCCACTATCTCTAGCCTCAGAAGTCATGATAAACTTAATACATTTCAGTTTATTCAAGGTGACAAAAATAGGCACCATTTTTCTTTGAGTCTTGGGATAATAGCATTTTTCCTCTATCTAAATATTAGAGCTCCATCTGCTTCTGTACCTTGTGGACAATAATAGGAATACTGGTAATATCTTGCATTTTTATAGCACTCTCTATCCCAGGACCTCACTGTGCTTTATTAATATTAATTTAGCCTTATTACACTTTTCTGAGATAATTCCATATCACAGATGAGAAAAACTTATGCAGAGAGAGATAAAGTGACATGCTCAACATCAGAAAGTCTTTGGCAGAGCTGAGAAGCAAACCCTAGTCTCTTATCTAACTGTAAGTCCCGAGACAAGAGCACACTGAACTTTCACGTGAGATCATTTTCCATATGAAAAGGAGGAAGTGTTATACTGTAATTTAGTGCATCAGGTTCACAGTAGCATGTTTGAAATTTCAAACAGAAACTTTGGCAGATTTGACTGCTGGAAGATTATCTGCAAGTAAAACTGGCTGCCACTGGCAAGAGAATAGTAAAGATTTGATGATAAACCTCTTCCATCAGAATATGCTTTATGAATGGCAATCACCTCGTTCAGATCTGAATGCTAAACTCATCTCTATGCCCAAACTTTCCCATAATAAATGCCTTATACATAATAAGTAGTAGGGAAACAACAGAGCTACATGTCCTCTACTCACAGGAACTCCTACAAAACTACAGTGAATCTGGACAGACAGGATGTTTTTACATTTAATAATACCTATTATACTCAAGAATTATACAAATCATAAGTTAAATATTGCTATTTCTATAACTGTGCAGACCAGTAGAGAAGGTCTGATGTACTCAGAAACAGCTCACAACAGTAGAACAGGAAATGTTAATGTTTGGGGGCACATTGGAGTTAACATGCTTTCTTACTGTCAGAGCCCTGGGATCTTTAACTTCTACTTGGTGAATCACCAGAGTTGTAGAGGTTTATTCTGTTCAAATATACAGCAAGTATATGCTTCAGAGATTTTCCAGATAATTTCTGCTATTATTGCTGGCTGCTCTCCTGGAACAAACTATCTTTGAAAGCTAACTGCAGCCAGCTACAGCAGCTACATGCCTCCAATGTCCAAATTATAATGGAAGAAAACACTGTTCAGTAGAAAGATATTCACCAATAACTGTTCTTTGATTACATTGCCTCTATAATGTGGGATGTGTATCCCTAGTCCTGCAAGGTCAAAACGATCTAGAAGAGCAACTTGACTCAACTCTTTTGTTTAGATCTGAGGATGTCAAAAATCAGTGTGTATTTTCTGGGGGTAGTTGAGAAACATCAGATTCAAAACTTCAGCCAGTGCTCCCAACAGATTCTGAAACTGCAGTCCTCCAATGGAGACATTGCCACCACTGTCTTCTCAAAGGATGTGGAAGAAGCCAGCCTAAATTCAGTACAATCCGTGACTTCCACATCATCAGCCATCCTCCAATTCTGGCAGGATTTCTGTCTAGGTTATCCTCATTCCTGATCAAAGAAGGTAACAGCTCTCAAGATGGAAGTGTGGTAAGACAACATGGGTAAAAGAACTCTAATTTTCCTCAGAAAGGAGAAGCTAACAGGAATAGATGTGTGTGATTCTAGTGTATTCGGGCAAAAAAGGAGCCAGTGGTGATTGCTCCTCAAAGACCCACATTGTCCAAAAGCTCCCCAAGGAAAGGAAATCTGCAGAAAGTGGTATGGGAGAAACCCATGTATGTAAATGCCTATCTAGGAGAAGACCAGACCCCTTCAAAAGTGCATAAGGGTCTTCCAAAGCTGAAAGCAGACCAAATGAGCTTCAAAGCCTGTCCCTGATGATGCCAAGGCTAAGTTGGGTAGCCCTTGGAAAGAAGGACTTCTTCAAAGATGAAGAAGGAAGACTATAAGGCAAACTTATAGTTATCAGGCTCAGAAGACCTATGACAAGCATGGATGAATATGGCACAGACAGGAGCCAGGGGCCCACTCTAATTCAAAAACACAGGCTTATCAGGACACCCAAAGATTGGGTCCTCAGATCCAAGACTCCCTATGGAAGCTTAAGATCCAAATAGCTCAACTGCCTCAGACCTATCCTTCCAACCATAGCACATATGCTGTTCAGGTGGCTGGTCTGCAGCATGCCACCTAGAAAACTCAACTGAGCTTCCTCAGGACAGAAAAACAGCATGGAAGCTCAAGATAGAGCAGGTCCTCCTGTTTGACTTTGAGGCACTGCAATAAAGGAGACTTCAGAACTAGGGATGTAAATAACGTTTTAAAAAAAGTAAACATTTAAACTATTGAATGTTTAACCAGTAAAATTTTAACCGTTAGGCTCTGCTGCCGCCCTGGGCACCCGGGGTCCTGGCTCAATGCCTAGAGACTCCGCTCGCTGCTGGCCCCACCCCGCGCAGCAGTTCGCGGCTGCCAGCATGCCCGGGATCTTGGGGAGGTTGGGACCCCGGACGCGTGGGGGACCAGCAGCGAAGTCCCGCAGCCGGAGGTTAAATGGTAACCATAATACCTTACCAATAAGACTGATACTTATCGGCTAATCGCTTAACCAGTTAACATTTTACATCCTTATTTAGAACAAGCACTGCCATCTCCAAGAAGCAGAATGATCAAGCCACAGACCCAGAGGGACAGAAACAACAGGTACCTGGCACCCACGGACTGATTCCCTCAAAGCTGAAGCAGACTACTTTGAATCTTATGTGGCGCCAACAAGCACTGTTAACCTTAGAGAGACCAGCATCTGTAGAAATCAGATCCATCAAATTAGCTTTCACAGCCTCCTGCAGAAGGAAGAGCTGTAAATACTCTCTCTCATTCTGGGCCCAAGACGTAAAAACCACAGACAAACCAGCACACCTCAGGAAATAGTCTTCTCTGAGACAGAGTAAACAATACAAGTAGCGACGTGTCAAATATTTCTGAGCCACAGCACGCTTTGTTCAAAGCTTGTTTGTTTGGTTTTTGGGTCAGGATCATCCATAGCCTGGACTAAAACCAGGCCCATTCACTGAAGCAGTATAATGACATTCACTGAATGAAGCAACAGTTAGTGACCAGGACCAAACCACTCAGATCCTAAGCTAGTGCCAAGAGGATACTCTGCAACAAAGCAAACACCTAAAAAGCAACATTAATTACATTAAACTAACCAGCAATCACCCCGCCCAACACAGATTCAGCAGGAAAATTGGAATAAATAATGAAATTGTAAAGCTGATGGTCATAACACTTGCAGCGAGCTATGACAAAACAGGAACAGATGGTAGTTGGTGCTGCTGGTACCTCTTTTGTAACCTGGCTCTGAACTCACAGATTTTTTGATGGGGGAAATACATGCAGCCCCAATGGACACAGCTTTTCTAAATAGCTCTGAGCTCAAGACACTGGGCATCCACATTCAATAAGTGGGTTTCTGTACAAGTAATTCTCTATGGAATCTCTAGCTCTGCTTTTTAGCACCATGAGGGAAGTAGGATATGAAAAATTGTTATAGAATCTGAAGTACACACTACATTTCAATGCATTGGAGAATTCTTATAAATTACTGTTTGTAATATACCACAATCAGACAAGAGAAGACTGAGTCACATGCACGAAGTTTCACTGGAGAAGTAGAGAAGAGCAATATTTTAAAAAAATTTAACAAATGAAAATTGGAAATATTTATGGTCCGCGTTATCTTAAAAATATACCTATTTTATAGATTCATAGATTTTAATGGCAGAAGGTGCAATTATGATAATCTAGTTTAATCTTCTGCATAATACAGGTCAGAGAGTTTCACCGAATAATTCCTGCCTGGAATTAAGTAACTAAGGCTGTGAATGGGCAGAGAAATCAACCTATGTGGAGATAACAGTAATCTGCATAGGGTGGTATCTTTCCAAGAGTGGGGCCATGAAAGTTATTCCATGAATATATCACTATCTACACAATGACATTTAATTTTTCCTGATAAGAATGTACAGTCTCATTTGAACACAATACTTCAAATAGTGAGCTACAAATATTTAAGAATGTTTCTATATTTTTAATAATTTATTGCACAACATTTTCTTTAAGAGAACAAGACGGTCTCCAAATTAATTTTTCAGGACAGTAAAAAGTTATTACTTTTTGCATTTTTAATCACTTTAGTTAAACAACTCTCAGGCCTTCTATACTGCATAAGTAAACTGAATGCATGACTTGAGTGATGGGATCCAACTCTGGCAACCTGCTACATGCAGGTGGGACCCTCTGCAGAGCCCCAGTGTGGGGCTCTACACTGACACAAGGGAACAGAGGGTAGGATCAGGGCTATAAACTTATAAATTCAAGGGGGATTTTCAGAAATGTTCAACTTTGGCGTCATATTTCTCCCATTGAGGTCACTGGAAAAAATCCAGTGGATTTTAAATGAGAGGAGAGCTAGACCAACATTGACTGCTTTTGAAAATCCCACTCTACAAGCATTACTGTATTTTCCCAATCAAACAAATGAAGAAAAAAGTCAAATCAAGACCGGCTAAAGAAAGTTAAATTTATATTCCTAAATTTTAAACCTAAAGCTAAAAGACAAATGGGAATTCCTGAGTTTAACATTTGACAGCAAAGTAGCTCTGTGGATATTTATGCTCCTTTTCAAAATTGCTGCTCTTGAGCTTTCGATCCCTATCTGTAGTATAAAACCAGATCCACCTTGAAGAACATTAGAACCAAAGCACTAATGCAGTTCAAAGCTGAGAGAAGACAGAGAATCCAAAAGGATCCCAGGAGTGGAAGACTTGAAAGCTTGTAACAGAAAACCTATCCCTTCATTTTGTATGATTGAACAATACACTTACATTCCCTGCAGCTATAAACCTAACTGCTTGTGAACTGAATCTCTTTACCTGACGCTGTTGTAGCTACTCTTCCATCAGTTACTGCTTTGGAAGAATGATATGTAATCATCTGAGTATCTTCCTTTTCTTTACTGGGGTACTCATTACGGAAAGTGGATTCTGTGGATAATGGCGCTGTAACTTCCAAACTACGGCTTAAGTCAAGAGGGAGACATGGTCCACGCTTCTCAAGTGACATATGAGCAACATCAGGTACTACACAAAAGAAAGAATGTAATATTAACAAAGATATATAAGCCAGACAAATAACAGTATGGGTCGCAGTGTTACAATAAACAAACAGCATGTAGCTAAAGGCACTCAATGTTAGTCAAAGATCTCATTAGGTGAAAAAAATGTGAAAGGTCTTATTCTTTATGATTGTTTCTCTCGGGTTGTTCTTTATTAGATTAAATACATTACCCTCTGATATTGATGGCTGTTGATTTTGAGCACTGATGGAGAACACTTTTCCATCAGTGACTGGAGAGGGAGAAGGAACTTTTTGTATAGACTCATCAGGCAACGAGCAAGTGGCTAAACGCTGTGATCTTCTTCTCCTCTGGCTATATTTGTAGGATCTAGGGGGATTCACTGGCTGTGACGGACCTAAAAAGAGATCTTTCAATGTTCATGAAGTAGAGATATGTCATAATCTTACGGAAATATTTTAAGATCTAGAGAAGGGTCATGCTTTAAATAGTTCTCTTCTGCAGAACTGCTAATCACATTGTGCTTTGTAAAAATGAATAAAACTATGAATATCAGATGAATGTTAATGTTTGAGGCAAGATTTTGGTTTTTTGCTTAATATATTACTATATGAATTTGAGGATCTAGCCTCCATGGATATAGAGGAGGTCCTTATGCAAATAATCTATTTGCATTAAGGGGAGCCACCCCATAAATCAATGAGAGTGTAGACAGCTTATAGTTTAAGAAACAATAGGATTTCCAGTATAGCAAAATAATTGTCACAGTAAAAGACTTAAAAAAATAAAAATAAAAAAAGCATAGACAGCATTAACATAAAACTTTTAAAATAAATTCACAAAAGGTAATGGTTCATTTTAGTTCTAATCTCTCCACTTTCTTCTAAACTGATATTAACACCCTGGTAACAGCAAATACAGAAACATTAACTGTCAATGCACTACATAGCAAGAAGTCTAAACCTCAGCATAAAGAATCTCAAATGAAGAGAAATATTTGTCGATATTATAGGCCTGATTCATTAAAAAAAAAAATAAAACCTCACTTATGCATGTTTCATATATTGTACTTGGGGAAATGTGCTTTACCTGCATAAATTAGAGTTCTGTAAATCATTAATTCTTTTTCCTCCTTGCCTTACCTAGACTCCTTTGTGTCATACTAAAGATTTGCAGTAGCAACAAAAATTACATTTCTATTTTTAAAAAAGTCAAAAGAGGTGGGAGCTGTTACAAACCATAATAAAAAAATAAGTATCCAGGCAATGAAGTTACAGATTTTTTTTTTTTTTTTTTTTTAAATAGCAAGCAGATGCGTAGCTTCGGTCCAAAACACAAAACCTCCTCAAGCAAAACTACTTACCGACATCTTGGGGGTATTGCAACATGTGTGGATCACAGTGTTTTGTGGGGGAAATTTATAACATGATTTAAAACCAAAGATATTTATTGAGAGAATACAGAAAACTTAACTGGCTTATTTCCCTCCCCCATTCAATTAAAATTTGCTACAAGATTAAGAGACATTTATCTCCTCAAGAAGATGTCAACTGTAGATGTAAGGATGCAACATGTGATGAAGGAGTCCTCTTCAGGCCTTATTTTGTCACAGCTCTAGGAGTGAAGCAAAACTTAGGCTTTTGCTTTACAGAAACCCATGTTAGTTATAACTGTTGACCGCATGACTTCGCCTTCTTTGAAGCAACAAAGTGTCTTTAAGAGGTGAAGCTCAAAACAAATCTGAAAAAGCTACACTATCCATCTCCAGCAAAAATAAAATATATAGAGCGAGCTTGTAATTGCTCAAAAATGTAATAAAATCATTCAAGGATGTTATGCAGCAGATAAGTTTCACCAACTCTTCCATCCACCAACAATATCTTGATATTTTGAAAACCAGTTCTATGCTTTAAAAAGGCTGAACTACTAAGGTGTTTTCACCCTACACAGGACAACTTCCTTTATTTTCCCATCAAAGAAGTTGACCCCATCTTCTCTCTCACATCAGATTTAGAGGAAATATCATGTAGTGTGAAGGACTGTGCAGCCAACAGGTACATCAAAACAGTCGACTGAAGGCAGAGATCCTCAATGATGGAAAGGAAAGATCCGCAAGTAAACTGCACATATTTTTAATGAATCAGGCCCTTTAAGTAGAGGTGTTTGTTTTCTCCTGTATCACTATTACCATTAGTGTGGAGATTCATACAATGGAACTTAAATCATTAAAAGCCATGACTTTCTACTACCATAAAAGTGCCATTATTACTTGCACCATAATTCACACACCATGTTACGTGACTTTACTTTTTATAAGTTTGAGCTATCCCTAATGTACCCACTTACGTTTGAATTTTTTTTTTATAAAAAAGCAGATTCATTGTAAAAAGCAACATTAATTTACAATCAATTATTTTTCTGTAAATTTCTTATGACTATAAGTAATTATGGTATTTTTTAAAATGTCTGTGCTCACTAGTTTTATTTATCACAGAAGAAGGAAGCTGAGAGACCAGCGTCAAATCCTCGACTTGTATTAACTCTGGGGAAAGTGGTGATTTAGGGGGCTTTATACACCCAGAAGAATCTCCAGATTCTTGTTTGCATTTCTTGCTGCGAGCCTTTCCTGAAGACAAAGTTGAGGATAACAGTGCAGGTTTCTGAGTGTTGGTAGAACTGCTAATATCAGCTTCATTTTTTTTCTGACTTTGAGGTTTAGGTGAAATCTCCTGAATAAATAATAAGAAATTGATACTTTTATTTCAGTTTCTTCATTGTGGTTCTTGTATTCTACTTTGATCTTTTTTAGCATCTTTAGTATTCAAAAACATTTATTCAAAAACATTTTTAAAGCAACATTTATCACTTCCAAATACAAATGAAAAACAGACTCAAATGTATCAAAGTAAAAGTTGAGCAATCTGTTTGTTTTTAAAGGGACACTGCCAATGACTTTCATCCTTAAAAGTTTTTCTTCATTTCTCATTGCTTGCAATACCCTCAAAAAAAGCTTTAAAACATTATTTTCTCTTACCAACTATCTAATTTCCATTTGACAAATAGTGCATTTTGCTGTTTTTCTAATACAATAAAATCCTTTTCATGTCCATCTCTCTCTCATTACGAGCAATCATCATCAATGTTTTCGGCAAGAATAAAGAATGACTTAGAGAAGAACACTGTTGCTACTAACCAGAATGGGAAGTAGGTATGTTAGCTTTGTTGTGATCACACCACAAAACAGAAGTTTCTCAGTAAGAGTCATCAATTTAAAATAAATATTTAGAAGTTGGATGTCATTTTCCACAAATTTACTTCAGTTTTGATGAAGAATCTGAAAAGGTTGACAGTGCCCCTTTAAGGAAAGTCTTAGAACAACGAACAATGATGAAATTTGAGCACAATCCCTTTCAGTGCTGGGAGTCTGGATTTCACCACACTACTTGCTTGTGTTAATGTTTCATGAAATCGCAACTTCTAGCACCACAGGGTTAAATAGATTGCTAACTGTAAAAAAACAAGCAGATAAAACGTAGGTTAAAAAAAACAGTTTCTGAAAAGCAAAATACACTGCATTTTCTAAAGCTGAAAATTTTCACCCTTCTTTTTAATGCATGTACTGAAATATTTAAAAACAATTCATCTGACTTTACAACAATTAGAATTTTACATTTTTTGCTAGAAGGAGGTTCTCCTACAAGTGGAGTAATCTGTAACAGTGTTAGTATTTGCCCAATGATGGCAGCTTGTACATATCTGAACACATGACCTCAAATTTGTTTCATCTATTGCCCAGTTGAATATGCATCATGGTATTATGTTAGCTAACAAAACCATAATTATGAAAGTGTAAACTTTTGTTTCTAGAATGTGCGCGCCACTTTCTCCAAAAAGATTTCACTCCACTGACGATTTGGGGGCATTTCCCAGTTTTCAGACCTCCGTACTTCAGAGGACTGCATTTTTGGTATTGAAGAGAAACTCTCTTTTCCATTGGAACATGGGAGCTGCAAGTTCCAGTGGAAATATAAAAAAAAGCAGCACACACGACATACTTAAAAAAAAGGCACCCTTGCGTGCTACATGAATGGCATGCTGGAAGTACCATGTAAAATTCCGGTGCAAAGTGTCCCATTCAGTTATCCCCCGTTTTATCCTTGAATCAGCTCATTATACACGTGATTTAAGTGCAGTTTATTCATTTAAATAAAATATTCCATGAACTGTAGAGTATACCTATGCTGATTACAAAAGGTATTACCAGAAATTAATTAGAGCCATAACTTGTAAATAAACAATTTTATTGTTCATCTTCACATATGTGAAAGACATTACTACAGCGTCCATTACTTTCAAATTACAAAGTTATTTAAACAAGATTTAAAAAATTAAATTAATATTTTGATAAGGTGCTTAACCTCTTAACAAGGACAAACTAACATTAAAAAAAACCTTAATGAATTAAAGTTATTCATCTAAGCAGGTCTTGCTCAAAAGGAAATATAACATTACATAACCCTAATACACTTAAATAAACTACTGAATCTACATGTAATAGTCTGAGGTTTTTGGGTTTAAGACAGTTGTAAACTAAAAAAGTTATAAATATAATTTCATCAGCACAGTAGGTTTTTGGCTGTTGGCCTGAATATTACTGTGTCCTGTATTACATTATTTAAAAACACACTACAAGACATTTACCCAATCAGTATTACAGTGGTAGCAGACAGTACCTCTGTAATTAAGGGCTGTCAGCTTTGCCATTTTAGGGGTTTATAACTCGGCCATTTTAATTTGCATTTGGGCTGGAATTTAGCAAAAAAAAATTTTTGAGCTCAGACACTCCCACCCCAACTTAATCAGTTTATGTTTGATCGGTTTTTTGTTTTTCTTTTCAGTTAGAAGAAAGGGGCGAAGTAGTACATTTGTTGGGTTTTGGATGCTTTTTTTGTTTAAGAACACAACTAAAACAAGTATTTTCAAAAATGTTTTGCAGACCATTAGTCAGTGAATGGTGACAGTCCCTTCTGTATTTTTTGTTATTATTTCTAATCAACAAAGTAAAAATAGAAACAGCCGAGTTATTTTAGATTAAGAAGTTACTATTCAGAAGTTTCTTTTAATATGCACTGTAATCTATACTGTTGCATACAGTCTTAATAAATGACAAAATCCCATTCATTTCAATGGAACTCTGCACAGTAAGATTTACAGTGTAATGATTCTTCCAGAAATGTCATGCTGTCAGACATCTCTCAGTTTTTTGCACACAGAAAGTATTATACAAAAGTACTAAGAAATTATAGCATCTTTAATATGCAAAAATTGGAAAAGTGGAATATCATGTCAATAAATCATAAACCATTATGCAAAATATCAGTCAATGCATTGACACCTTAGTAGCTCAGAATTAACCATTACAGTGGCAGCATTAAAAGTAGAACCATAACTTTCCATTGACAGCACTCTGTATTGGATCTGAGCGTCTCAAACCCAGGGTCAATGGAAAAACCATAGCAATGCCACTGTATATCAGGACTAAAGAACCAGTTGCAAGAAACATAGTATCAAAGTTTGGGGTAGGGATTGTTTTAAGAGCTTGGTGGGGCTTGTGAAGAAAGGAAGTGCTCTTTTCAGTTGGTTTGTTTAAAACAAACCATTAAAAAAAAAGAAAATTAATACAAAAAAGCCATATTAAAATTACATTAAGGATCTTATTTAAGCCAACAAAAGCAAAAATATCAAGAGTTAAGGCTGCCACTTCATCCTTAGCTTGCTTTACTGTGCTTAGGTAGTCAGCCCTTTTAGCATGCAAGATCATGCACAATTCTGAGACTCAAGCAACACCTGAACACAATGGAATGAGCCAGAGATAGGGAGGCAACCTTCAATTCTTCAAATAAGTGGTTTTAAATCAGACCCCTAACATTAAAGTTTCTTTTTTGTATGTATTAAAATATACATCTTAGCAAAATGTATGGCTCATTGAACAGTTCATAAAACACGCACAGTCTACAACACCAATTCTTACAATAGAAAAGAAACTTCTTACAAAAGAAGTTTTACTAGATGCCAAAAACCCTGTTTCAAACCACAAATCAAATTTGTGTAAGGGTCTTTGTCTTAGCCAGTTATAGGCATGGTTCCAGCTATAAAACCTTGGGACCGCTGTTTCCTAGCCTTTGATTCCTTGGAGACAGTAACTCATTTATGAAAATTAAAGTTAACACGGTCATTTGTGTCAATTTACTTGTATGCTTCTGGCTACGCAGAGATGTAAACATAAGATCAAATATTTAGTTCCCTATTGCTGTTTCTGAAGGGGCAATTTTGTTATGGATACTATATCTCCATGGCACACTCCAGTGGGAACCTTGCAAAAGAATCAAACTCTACCATTTCATACCTGCTCCAGGACTGGAGCTGTTTCTTTGTTGCCTTCCTTTTTTTCAGCACCATCCACAACAACAGCTTTGGATGCCAACAAACCTTAAAAGAAAAGTTGCACAGAGATATTTAGAATAGGTTGTTTTTTTATTTTACCGTTTGCTATCACCAGCTTTTATGAAAAACATAAATGTGAAAACAAATTAAAACATTTTCATCTACAAAAAGATTCTCTCTGAAACCCCCTTGTATGGAGTCTTTATTTAAAAGAACAAAACGTATGAGACCCTGACTACAATTCACAGGCCCTGCATTATACATGAAGATTAGCACCAGCCACTCCAATTCCACCGCCAGAGAGGGAAAAGGAGCTCTAAATTGTAATGCTATGACCCTCAATCCCAAAGCAATTGTGCTTCAAAACCACGTCTACAGTCATAAAGTAAGTTTTCAATCTTTTGATTTTAGGAGGTTATTTCGAATTCCTTCCTTCACTCATTCCCTCCACATTTGGTCTTTGTGTGCTTTCCTAATGGTTATAAATAGGGCACTACCGAATTCACGGCCATGAAAAACACGTCATGGACCGTGAAAGCTGGTCTACCCCTGTGAAATCTGGTCTTTTGTGTGCTTTTACCCTATACTATACTTTTACTCTATACAGATTTCACGGGGGGAACCAGCATTTCTCAAATTGGGAGTCCTGACCCAAAACGGACTTGCGGGGGTGGGGGTGGGGTCGCAAGGTTATTTTAGGGCAGTGGTTCCCAAACTTTAACAACCTGTGAACCCCTTTCACTAAAATGTCAAGTCTCGCGAACCCCTTCCTAAAAATTAATATTTCCAGGGATTGTCTCCTTTACCCGAGTATAAATTATAAAAGCAGTTATCTTGGAAATATAAAATTTGTTTTTAATGACATGCTTATTACACACTATTATTAATTATTATTGATCATTACAGTATTTTTATTACATTATGAAAACGGCAACACTCTTCCAAGATTTCACTTTTGTAGCTTGTATCACTTTGAATAAGCCTGTTATAAGACAAGGCTCCTATGTTTCAGCAAGGAGTATCAGCTGTGAAACAGCATGAAGGTATTAAGAAGCCAACTCAAAGTGTTCCTCCTACACAAGCATTCAGGTCTTGAGCAGTCCAGGTAAACAACGCACGTTACAACAAAGTTTAAACTTGTTCTTCATAATAATTTTAAAAACAAACAATACTAGCTGCCTATTTACTTTTAAAAACAGCAAAAAATATCCATCTCCCTTTCCAATTCTTATAAGGAGACTTGAAGTTTAAATCTCCTCAGTGTGATAGATATGCTTGCTTTGATCTGCTTAGCTCTTGGAAGTCCAGGGGCTCTGGGCTGCTGGCCCCGTGCTGCCCGGGGTCCCTAGGGACAGCTCTGTCCGCCATTAGGGAATTTTTTCCCTGAGAACCCCCTGTAACATTTTGCGAACCCCCAGGGGTTCACGAACCCCAGTTTGGGAACCACTGTTTTAGGGGAGTCACGGTCAGTTGCAGATTAGCCACTTGGTCAATGGGGCCCCAGCCAATTGGGGCGCTCCGGAAAAGTGGGCACCCCCACACCCCGCTCTACCCACCCTGCGCTCCTGCTGGGGAACAGGGTTGGGGCATGGGGGCTTGCCCCACTCCGCCCGACCGGCACTCCTACCAGAGAGCAGGGGAAGCCCCCGCACCCTGACCCCACTCCCTGGCAGGAGTGGTAGGGGCAACTACAGTTGGAAAGGGTGTGGAGGGGCTCCCACTTGTTCTGGCCCAGGGCCCCAGAAAAGCATAATCCACCACTGGTCACAGTATTGTCACCATTACTTCAGCGCTGCCTTCAGAGCTGGGCAACCAGAGAGTGGCGGTTGTTAGCCAGGCACCCAGCTCTGAAGGCAGCGCCCCACCAGCAGCAGCACAGAAGTAAGGGGGGCAATAGCATATCATGCCACCTTTATTTCTGCGCTGCTGCCTTCAGAGCTGGGCAGACAGAGTGGCGGTTGCTGACTGAGGGCTCAGCTCTGCAGGCAGCAGCCCAGAAGTAAAGGTGGCAATACCATACCAGGCCATCCTTACTTCTGCGCTGCTGCTGACAGCGGCTCTGCCTTTAGAGCTGGGCTCCTGCCCAGCAGCCACCACTCTCCAGCTGCCCAGCTCTGAAGTCAGCACCGCCGCCAGCAGCAGGGTAGAAGTAAGGGTAGCAGTCCTACAACCCCCTCTACAATAACCTTGTGAACCTCCCCCCCCACACACCTCCTTTTGGGTCAAAATCCTTACAATTACAACACCGTGAAATGTCAGATTTAAATAGCTGAAATTATGAAATTTATTATTTTTAAAATCCTATGACCGTGAAATTGACCAAAATGGCCTGTGAGTTTGGTAGGGCCCTAGTTATAAGTTACAGTTGCAGAGTTCCCATCGAAGTTTGCCTGTTATGTATTTTCATCTCTTTAACAGGCCCATGCAAATCCTGTTTGGACTAAACAAAACATTGAAGCATCTAACACAAGGAAAAAATCTTACAAAGGCGGGTGGATAGACTAGATCAGAGGTTCTCAAACTGTGGTCTGCAGACCACCAGTGGTCCGCGAGCTCCATTCAGGTGGTCCACTGATAGTTCCCTCAAAGGTGCGCACCTGGGCGGCCGCACATGAGAAAATGAAGGGCCAACCACCTAATTAGTGGAGCCGCGCTGTTGTGGCTCCACTAATTAGGTGCTTGGACCCTGGAGAAGACGCACATGTAAAGTGAGGTGGTGGGCTTGGGGGGAATAGAGAATAGGTGGAAGGGGGCAGTGGGATGAGAAGAGGGGGTGGGGGAAATTTGGGACGTGCAGGGCTGCGGTGGCCAGAGAAAGAGGCAATTTCCCCAGCTCCAGGGTTGCGGCTGCTGGGGAGAGACCCCCCCCTCCTTCCCAGCCCCAGCTCGGGGGCTGCTGCGGCCGGGGAGAGAGAGCACATCCATCGCATTAGAAAGGTAAGACTATAGATATTAAAATATGAGTTGTGTGCGCTTTCGTTTGTAGAACAAAAAAACAATTATTATTAAGGGTTTTTTTTTAATATAGTGCTTTTATCCAAAGCGCTTTACAATAGTTAGCTAATGGTACAAGTGGTCTGCGGAAAAAAAAGTTTGAGAACCATAAGACTAGATTACCTAATCAGAATTTTCATTCTCTATGATTTAAGTAATAGGGACTCCAGGTGACCCTGATAATAGGATCACTGGGAAACTAGTAATTTAAAATAATGCTAGTTCTTCATTCACAAATCCATATACAAGACTACTAATATAAATTTAACAACCAGACAATAGAAACAGCCAACAGTTTTAAACCTGATGTCCAGAATTGTTTTTTTTTTCCTTGTTTTTTTTCCTCATTTTAGGCACAGAGCCTGTTGTTGCCCAGGCAAAAAGTAGGTGTTTCAGAGCTGCTTTGTCCGGGAACTTTTACTTTATGACTTAATATCTCTACTAAATAATGTTGGTGAGGAGACCCAGCCCGCTTGAACGTGCATAAAGAAAAACTAAACCAGAGGCAGCAAGATATCTTCGAAGTCTGAAAGTCTTCTCCTGCAATCTGTGGCCCCAAGAAGAAGCTACCTCTTAACAGAGATTGTTCAGTTTGGATAACAATCTACAAGATATAGCTACTGCATTCCATGGAAAATTAAATACCCTCACAATCAATTCAGAACACACTAAACTGGAGGCATATCACTTAGTGAACTCTGGGCTCTCCTACAGTAACACATTTAGAACACTGGAATACTGCAAATCCATCAGTAATCCAGATGACTTTTCATTAAGAAGTTGTAAAAAGCGATGAAGAGTCCTGTGGCACCTTATAGACTAACTGACGTATTGGAGCAGAAGCTTTCGTGGGTGCTCCAATATGTCTGTTAGTCTATAGGGTGCCACAGGACTCTGTCGTTTTTTACAGATCCAGACTACCACGGCTAACCCTCTGATACTTGACACCATTAAGGAGTTATCAAGCTTCAGTGCCCCACAAGGATCTACTACAGGAAACTGTATTATATTCCTTACTATGTGTGTTACATCAGTTTGATGGATTTTTTTTTTTTAAATTAAATTAACCAGAACATTGTCTCCAATCCAAGATGTGCAAAGACATTACTTAAAAAAACAAATTAATCAATCATGAATTTACTGCAAAGCAGAACCCCACTAATTTGCAATACTGAATGGAAGTCATCATGGAGTTCATGCAATTCATAAGTTAACAAAGAAGACCTCAATTCTGCAGCTTGCTTAAAACAGGAGGACCCCTGCGCTTATGTGGGTCCCAATTAACATGCGTAAGTGCACAGATCCTTTCGTATAGAAAAAGTTGCAGGGCTGGGACTTAAGTAAACCAAAATAACCATTACAAAATGTACTGTTTAATTTTACAAATTTAGTTTAAGTTTATGGGAGACAACTTGAAATAAAAAAAGCAGCTGCATCATCTCCATTTTGTCTTCATTCCTGTTTCTTACCTCTGGAGTAACTTTTCTACAAATGAAGTTCTGAACAAAGGAGCGGATGTGGATGTGTTCCAGAGGGACTTTCAAACCAGCAAACTCACCAATGCTGCTAAGAACTGGATATATGGACTTTGAAGTCTCTGTATGTATCTGACTGCTTTACCATTTAATAACTCTTCTTGTTCTTCCTTTTTTCCTTATAATAAACCTTTTGCTTTAGACACTAAAGAATTGGCTGGCAGCATGGTATTTTGGGTAAGATCCAAACGAATACTGACCTGGTAACATGGCTGACCCTTTGGGGTCAAAAGAACATTTTGTATAGAGAGCAGAGTTTTCTAAATAACTTCTGGACCTATGTGCTGATTGGGAGCCAGGGAACTGGAATGCAATAAAGGGGGCTGTGTAATTTTTTTTTTTGCTTCTTGATAACCAGTGTGAGGAATCAGAAGCACTGTTTGTGACTGGCTGGTGAGTTTAACTTCAGTGTTAATCCCAAAACTGGTGGTTATCTGCTCTCCCTTTTGCAGCCTGCCCTGATCTTGGCATTTTCAGTGAAGGCTGTCCCAGGCACACCAGGTCACAGTCCTTTATTTATTTTGTAACTGTACACTTGGTTACCCCTTTAATACCTCTGCATAGTAACATAAGGTATACATTCTTTTAGAAATTATGAAGTCTTTTCTAGTGCTTCAGTGCATTAATAAATGCTTATGCTTTTTAAACTTTCCTTTAAGACTCTTCCTAGTCTCCTTCCAGCAATGCAATTGCCATTACTTCATAATAAACTGGGACAGAATTTTTGGTTGTCTCCAAAGCCAGTGGTATTGTTACTCCACTGATCTACTAGCAATGATTCAGTGTGCGTAATATAAACAGAATGCCACATCCAGAGCCCATGTAGATAACATTCCTCATACAATAAAGGGAATTATGCAGGAGATAAAAGGTGTTATAAACTAATGAACACACTTGTTCCAGGAAGAGGTCTATTCAGAATGATCAAGACATTGAACTGAAGACATAGGTCAAATCACAGACCTTACATCAAAATCTTGGAACAAGGTTGGCTTTATTACTCTTTGTGTAGTGCTTTGAGATCGTCAAAAACGATAACTGCAAAGTATTAATATAATAAACAGACATGTACTGATCTACCATAGCACTCTATGTACAAGCATAAACATTTGGATATGTTAAAAAGTAATGATGTTCTCAATAAAAAGGAAATTTACCAGTGATCTTGTTAAGACGAGCTCTCTTTGCCTGAAATGAGTTGCCTAGATTACTTTTCCTCTTGTGCGATAATGTGCTCTCTGCCCGCACAAACGCCATCTTAGGAACGTCCACTACTGGGAATCCTACTTTTAAAAGAACACACATGGAAGAGCTCATCTACAAATTCACATTTCATAAACATTTCTTATCAACTGTAAATATTTCAATGCAAAATATATTCTAAAATGAATTAATAGGCTTTTATGTGCCATAACTGGCAGTTTAAAGATTTACAATTAACAGTATGCAGAAAAATATTAACTTATAACTTAAAATTTCAAGGTAACAGATATTAACTTTGTTGAAATGAACATCAGGATTTACTGATTCAGAGGTAAAAATCTAGATAGCCCTTAAAACATGGAGACATATGTATTACATTGTCTTCAAACATATCTAGAAATCTCCATTATAACCATGAACCTTTAGAATTTAAGTTAAAAAAAAAAAAAAAGCTCTTAAGGGAAAATGAAATAAAGAGATCTAGAAAAATAAACTACTGATCTCTTCTGAGCCACTTAGGAAGCAGAAATTTGCACATAAATCTAAATAATTAACATTGCTCCAGACTTCAGTATTGAAGTCTACTAAGATACAAACACCATCTTCCTCTAGACTAGAACCATTGGCAGTATCATTTTGCAATACGAACAAAAGAGATTCTGAGGCCAAGAGTAACTGGGCAGGCAGAAAAAACAGTACATCTCTACCCCGATATAACGCGACCCTATATAACACAAATTCGGATATAACGTGGTAAAGCAGTGCTCCCGGGGGGGTGGGGGGGGAGGCGGAGCTACACACTCCGGCGGATCAAAACAAGTTCGATATAACGTGGTTTCACTTATAACGCGGTAAGATTTCTTGGCTCCCGAGGACAGCGTTATATCGGGGTAGAGGTGTATTTGCAGCCTTTAGAAAAATAAGAACTAGAATATAGTTTGTACCGAACGTTTCACTAGATGTAGGCTCCTCTTCCTTTTTCTGGACTTCCTGTATGATTGTAGAGGTTGAGGTTTCTTCCTTCTTTGAAGGTACTTTAAACCATTTTCTCTCCTCTTTATCTTTATTGCTGTTTGCACTGGTCCGAGGTTTACTTCCTGCTTTGTTCTTGGCTGCTGCTGCTGCAGCAGCTTTGACCAAAGCTATCCAATCCTCCAAAAAGAAAACAAAGGTGGAGGAGCATTAGTAGCAGTTTGCGACATTCAAACAGAATCCATTTACAAATAGTGAGCAATCTCATCCAGAAATTGCCAAGTACATTTATGTTTAGTTTTATGACTATTGCCCATGATTCAGTAAAATGTACTTCCCAAATTGCCTACATATTGTAACTAGAATCTACCTCGTAGATAACAAAAACACTGCATATGGAAATCTCTCTCTATGATTAGCCTTTCAAGCAGTATTGTGCCATAATAACTAATCTGTATGCTATAAGAGTTACAGAAATACAGGAACTGTCATACTGGAACAGGCCATTAACTCCATTATCCTGTTTCTAGCTGTGGCCTACACTAATCTAGCTATTTCAAATGGAAGACCAATCCCTCTGTGCCCCATACATGTCTTGCAAACTACACAATCCAAGGACAGGAGAATTCTTTCTAACCTAAGCCGTGGATCGGGTAATGACCTGAAGCAATGGTAACTCTGGTACAGAAATTTCTAGAATAACTGTAAATACGATTCCTACTGTATTAAATTTTCAAGCTTTATCCAATAATCTCAAATGGCTCTATAAACAGCAATTAACAGTCACAATCCACCTGCAAGGTAGGAAGAGATTATTACCATTTTAGAGATGGGTAGGTAAACTGGCACACAGGGAATTCAAGTGACTTGCCCTTGGCCACACAGTGAGCAGTAGCAGAACCTAGATGTCTTGACCCTGATCCCCTCTTCTAACGACTTGACAACTCTACCACAGTAAGCCATTTGTCTTAACATCTTGCAGCAGTGTTTTCCATAGAAAAATTCTATTACATAAAAACAACTGTATTCACCAACTGAATATATTTTTAAACTTTTTGAATGAAAAGATTTATTATAGGCCATCTGACTGTTTGATCTCATTAATGTTTTATATGTAGGTACGTATGTTATGTTTAAATTGTACTGTGTGCGCATGTGCATGAAAGGTGTTAGAATATCCCTAGAGCAAATACCACATTTTCTTCTCTGTTTGGTGGAGACAGCACTCAGTAAGTAATGAATTATTTCCTTTATTCATTTAAAATGTGCTGTATTTAATCTGGATTGTTTCCTTGCTACTGTATTATGGGATATATTAAAAAACAGTACCTGATAGGTATATCTCCATATATAAAGCCAATCTCATACAGCTGGAAGGGACCCTGAAAGGTCATCGAGTCCAGCCCCCTGCCTTCACTAGCAGGAACAAGTACTGATTTTGCCCCAGATCCCTAAGTGGCCCCCTCAAGGACTAAACTCACAACCCTGGGTTTAGCAGGCCAATGCTCAAACCACTAAGCTATCCCTCCCCCCTTTCACTCTTCCAATCATACTTCACTTCTTTCTAAACTAAACAATCCCAATCCCTTTAATTTCTTTACATATGGAAACCTTTCCATCCAACACCTCTACCAGTTTTTCCAATTACCATTCAGTGGACCTTTTCTATTTTCTGTGCCCCCTTTAAGGTGTCATGGGGACATACCTTCAGTTAAAATCTTTTTTCTGCATTATTCTCTATCCCTTCTTCATACAGCCCAACCTTTAATTCACATTTCTAGCACTGTTTTGCACTAAATATGCATCTCCACTGTGTAATAAACTACACATTTTGTGACAGTGATAGTTTCAACATATCAATAGTAAGCAAGGTCCCTTTTTTAGGACGTTAGACACGGATGCAAGAAGATCAAGCAACTTTCCTGTGAAGCTGACTGTTTCTTCTCTATGACATTATTTGCTTCACATTCTCCCCTTATTCTGCAGTCCTCAGGATAAGTTAGTTATGTATGTGTCTGAATATCATTAACTTAGTATTCACTTCCACTGATTTAGCGAATACCAACTACACATTAAAAAGACAAAGTCACTGCCCAAAAGAGTTTCCAGTATGAATCTCTTCTGAGCTAACCTACAAAATTAATTGTAAAAGTGCAGACATGTGGATCTTCAACAACGTATACTATACTCATTTGTGCTGGATGACAAAATTGAAGAAATCCTTCACTTGGTGCAGCTTCATATAGTAGCATTATTATTTATACAGCACCAGAGATATGGATGGTACTTTATAGATGGGAAAGAAAAGACAGTTCTAGTAACAAAGAGCTTACAATGCAAGAGGCACAACATAGGAAAACAATAGTAAAAAGGAGAAAGGAAGAGATAATGTCATGAAGGTACTTGTAGTTTACATATGCTGGTAGACCCACTTCTGCAATTTATATTTAAATTTGTATTTACTTAGCGCAGTTTAAGTCAACAAGTTGATAGATGTGAGCATGTGATGGAACGTACAGATTCTTTCGTGCCCCATAGGTGGCACTGCCCCAGTGATGTCCGTAAGTGGGGGTCCTGCTGAGTCAGACAGTGGCATGGTGATTTTGGGGTTAAATCCCAGCAAGGTTTCTAAGATCAGGCTTTCAAATTCCCATATGAAAGTGCCACCGAGAGGAGGGTGACTGGGGCTTGGTTTCTACCTATACTTGTGCACAAGCTTTTTTTAAGCTCAGAGCCATACAAGGTTTTGGAGGTGCAGGTAAGGAGGAACCACATGGAGGCTGCATGACTAGAAGCCAAGATGAGAAGATCTGGAGACAAGAACTGTCCTATTTATATTGTTTGGTGTTTAACGACTGTTATACACAATGAAGGAAACTGACCAGAGACTTTGCTAGTCTATTTTTATTTTGGTTGAGTGCCCTATCACAGATAATTTCATGTGTAAGAAACTAAGGGATATATTCTTCTCTTGATAAGCACAGAAATTCCTGTTCGGAAAGAAAGCATCTTCAAATGTAAATAAACTGTGCTTACAAGCCTTTATAAAACTTGTATAAGGAAAAATAAAGAGAAGATGAAGAAAGGTGGACTCTAAATCTGAATGAGTTTGAAGTCTTTCTTGAATTGGGATTGTTACCAGGTTTCTAACCTAACAGCCAGCCACAATACTAAGATGTAGCCAGACTCTCAGTAACCGGTCATTCAAATAATTTTAATCACATCAGTAACAGCAACTTTTTTGGCATGCACTGTATATACAAATTCCAGGATTCAGTTATTACCAAGTTAGAACGGAGCAATCTCAAGTATAGTTCTCATGAAATAAGTTCATCCCCTTCCTCCCCAGTGCTCTGAGTAGCCATTATAAATCACTTTGTTCTGATTACCCATTGCCTTCAGAATTCCCTATGATCAAACTGCAGCCAACATGGCAGCCTCCACTTCTGAGCCACAATGTTCACCTCAAATGACCTTTTTTCCCCTCAGTATTTCCTCTTTGCCACTTAAGGAAGGCTTAGTTCCTTTCTTTCTCCTCCTACCCCCACTACAAACATTTGTTTAATTAACCTGTCCAGGGCTATATGGGGCAACAGAGTAATAGGAAGCAGTCAGAAGATAAAGCAGCAGCTCCGGTTTTGGACAAATGGATGGAATTCTGAGAAAAGTCAAAGCAAAAGGATTTGCATAATAACTTATCATTAAGGAAATCACTGCACTCTGGTTAAAAATGGCCCTTGCTAGAGTTCAGGGACTGGCATACTGCATGACTATATAGCAAACCATACAGTCATTACAAAAATCAGATCAACTAAGCCATACTTCAGGAAACTGCATAATAAAGAAATAAGTTAGCAGGAACCATCCAGCATCCCTATACATTGATTGGCTAGAATAATTGCATTTTAAATACAATTAATTTTATAATCTTATAACTGCAACAGTGGGAAGGCAAAAAGCAGTAGCATTTCTAAAATCCATCCCTTCTGCCAACAGCTGGATTCATGTCTTGCCACCTCTCTCTTCAGCTATCACAACTACCACCTCTTCACTTCTCTATCTAAAATACGGCAGTTATCTTCCTCTTCTGGCACTCCTACCACATTATCCTTCCCACCACGCACATCCACACGCACACCCCTTTCTAGCTCACTGGCTGTTTCGAAATCAAGACTGGATTCCTTGCTCTCGCGTTCAACACCCTACACAGCTCTGCCCCACCTATATCTCAGCTCTTGTTTTCTCTATCATCTCTTCTTTGTCTCTGTCCCAACTGTGCCTTTTTCCCCTCAGCTTCCTGGTCCTATGTACCAAGTTCCCTCCCTCTCCTTCAAATCCCTCCTCAAAACTCACTTCTTTTGGTTCGATTTCCGTCACTAATCTCAGCTCCGGCGCTATCTGCTCCCTCTCGCGCGCCTAATTATATTGAAGATAAAACAAAAAAACATGAAACAGAACAAATAAGTTATCTGAATTATTTGTAAGTGCTTCCCAAGGGCAGTTTTCATTCTCACCCTTTTCCATTTCTTCTCTTCCCCACCTCAGTTGCATTTCTGTCTAAATTTTAAAACGTAGCTAATCCAAGCAGGAACCTGGCCTGTAGTCTCCATATAAATAAGAATACAAAAATGTTTGTATAGTTTTTGTTTTTGCCTTTCCACCCTCACAGCTGAAACTTTTGAATACACACAAATACTGTAGTATTAAAAAAAATTTACTTAGAATGTTTCAAGTTCTACAGTATCGCTCACTTTAAAAGAGACAATGTGAACTTAAAAATCACATTTCCATCTGAAAATATTACACCTATTTTTGTTACAAATAACTCCAAAGATTACTGGAATAGAAAAATAAAAAAATAGTCTCTTCTTCAATGTGCTTAATTTGTGCATTTGACAATACTTTGGTATAACCACTTTCACTGTTCTAATGGTCACTTGCATCACTCATACACTGCTCTTAGGTACACACAAGAGAGGACACAAATAACAAAGGTAGAAGAAAAAAATCCTTATACAAAAATGTTAATGAATGTTATATTTTATATGTACTCACTATTTTAAAGGTGCCAGAAAAATAAATTTGTAGTCAACTTTTAGTGAATTAAAAATATCAAAACGTTGCCTCTAATTCTCAGGTCAGCTTGCACACTAATGGACAAATTATTTTTGCACACATTCAACATTTTCAGAAAAAAAATGTTGCATGTTAATACCTTACTATTATTAGAAAAGTAATACAATTTTAAACCTAAATGCCAACTCTCAATACAAGTATTTTTGGGAGGTAAAGGGGCAGGAGGGGGAGAAATCACAACAGGAAAAAAGTTCTGGATCTGAATTTAACAAATAGTATCACAGGTTCATCTGATGCATGACTTTCATATCAATCAAATTATGTTGGGGGGTATTCTTTGAGAAATCATACAAAAACCTATGCCTGTCAAATAATTCCTGGTAAGTGCCTTCTTTAGAATAAAAGAACAATTTTAGTTTGAAACAAAACTTAGTCTTAGATAACTTTGACCTTCAAACCAAGCTTAGGATGTATTTTTATTTTTACAACAAAAATACTTTTGAAATAAAGATGGATATTTTTGCCATACCATAATAGATTTACCTAGCCTCCTGTCCAGCAGTTATATTACTACTTAAAAAATGAAACCCGGAGCCTGCTTTGAGACCAAGAGATTTGTACTCCTGCCTCTGATTTGGGGGACTTAGAAATGTCAAGGTTAATCTCATCTTTCATTTTAAATGTGAACATTTCCTAGCCTGTGTAGAAATCAAAATTAATCGCCAAAAATACAAGTTTGTCCCAGTGATTATTCCTCAAGATCTCCACTATAGCCACTCAGGTTTGGCCTCAGACACATGAAATCCAACACCACAAGTGTCTCAATATTTGAAGATAAGCAGAATAATTTATTGCGCTTATAAGAGTGCCATTTAGGCTGCCATCTATGGCACTAGCACTCCTACAGACTTCCTCCTGTCACTCGCTGGTTGTTTCAACTGAGCTTTTGTTTCTCAGCTGAGAAGCCAAAGTGACCTTTAGCTACAGAGTAGTATCTCAATAGTGCAACAGACAACATGATTTAGTGGAACAAGCAAAGGACTAAGAGCAAGGAACTTCTGAACTCTAATCCAAGCTCACTATTCTTCTTTATTCAAGTCGCAGCCTCCCTGCCTAAGTTTCCCTATTTGTAAAATCGAATGAAATAATCGAACTTCTTACCTCATTGGGTCACACAATTAATGTTTGTACAGAAACTCAACAGAATGCACATTACCATCAGCCTCTTGCTGGATGGTTATGTGACTATTAAAAAAAAAAAAAAAAAAAAAATGGGGGGGGTTAAAGTCTGAAGATGCCTCAAATAATCCACTGCCTGTCCTTCTCCAAAGTCCTAACTTTCTTTACATGATTGTCATATTATGATTTAAAGCTTTAAAGCTATCAGTTACACAGAAGCATAAGCAGAATAATTTATTGAGTTTATAAGAGTGCCATTTGGGCTGCCATCTATGGCACTAGCACTCCTACAGACAAATTATTGTTTAAAAGGCCCTCCCATTTCTCCATTTGCAAATAGTCATATAAAAACCAAACCCAGTAATTTATTCATTTTTATAAGTCATTTTCCAGAGCAGATTAGACATTTGAATTCTGCTCTTCCAAGTAAAATAACAATTTCTTGAAAAACTGGGGATTATAACTATTTGCGTTTTATCAATTTACTCGCTTCTTTTAGCAAGTTTCAACAGTCAATCATTTCATTTTTTAAAAATAGCTAAAATTTCTCATTACCAGCACAATTACTCTAAAAAGATTATTGCTCAAAGCAGGCTTCATACAAATTTGGAGACTGGATAAAACTTGGATAAAATTCCTAAGTATTTAAGTTAAAATCCTGCTATTGATCTTAGATTGTATCTCTGTATCTCATAACCCGCCCCCCTTACTGGTATGGTGCTACTCTCTTCTGTGACGGCATTGAGACTGTTACAGATAAAGGAATATCAGCCCACCTCCAAAAGGTTTGGCATAGGGAGATAAAAAACGAACCAACTGTGAATTAATAGAAGAAGGTGGTAGAAATCTGACATTGTAACAAATCCACCAGCAGCGGCCCACTGATGGGCTAAGGCCTCTTCTAAAGGGCCATAAAGACCAAGGAGGAGAGAACCTGTTAGCCCCTATGTGGTCCTGGGTTGGGACTACTGGAAAGAGAACAGTCAGGGAACAGATGAGCCAGTGAGGAGAGCATACAGCACTCAGAGGTTTCGCAATTGAAGTGACATCACTAGCACAGCACATGCTAGGGCAGCCCCTGCAGTTAAAAACTGGTGAACCAACATATTGAGGGACCTAAAGAGAAGGCAGCAGCAAGTTTAAAATCATTTGTGTTACATGGCCCTTCCAGCATGGGGCATTCAGCAGATAATTTGTTCTCAGGTCACTGTTAATATCACATGCCCTGTTTAGTAGTCAACACAAACAAGCAAGAAAAGACGCCTAATATCCTCACCTGCCCTTTGGCATCCTCAGGCATAGATTTGATATGCATCCTTTTTAGGCATCGAATAACTCCATCATAGAACTGTACTGTGAAGGTTCCTAAAACAGGATTGATGCAATCACTATGAGCAGTTAGAAACATACCTACCTCACTACTTCCCCAAAATACTACAAATACACAGTCATTTCAGACCCAGTCCTGCATGTGACATCAGTGAGTGCTTTGGCTCTGCAAATACTGTAGGATTAAGCATCTATTTAAAATTCGTCCCTTCATAGTTACAGTCACATATCCTCCTTGGATCACATCAAGATTAAAAGGGACACAATCAAGACAGAAGCGCTTAAAAAACCCTCTTTATTCACAATGAAAAACTCAGTGTTGAGTTCTATGGGACTATGAGATGAGACAAGCGCATAAAGTTACTGAGATATGTGTTTGTGGTTTCAGGACCTTGGACAGTTGAACTAAAACTGTAAAACTTATTTTATATGATTACATCCTTCATTTTTCACAACTTGGACAATAAGTAGTGCTTCATTTTTGTTTATAAGTTTCCAATTTATTAATCCAATGATGCCACATATTATCAGTACGTTTAAACCCACACCCAAAACCAATTCTCATTAGTTTTTAAATACAATAAAAGCATTGCAATAGATTTAAAGACAAAACAAAGCAAACGTCAAAACTACTTTAAATTTTATGCCTAAACTAGCTGGCATTTACTTTATCTTATTTCACTGATTACCAAAGCTCAAAAATGAGATTTTGAATGTTTTCTAGAAGAATTGAGGTACTGTAAGCATATAAATGTAAACCCAAACCAACAGTACTGTGAAGGGTTCTATAATATTGAGGCAAGGATGTTCATCTCGCTACTATAAATGAAAGTTACATTACTATTGAGTGGAGGAGGTACCCCAAGTTTTTAATTTCATAGAAATGAAAGATGGTAAATGCTCACTAGATCAAACCCATTCCTCCCCTCATAGAATAGCAATACTTCCTACAGTATGTTTAACGTAGTGAATAAAACCGTATGTAAACACATTTTAATTTTAAACAGGAGTATAGCAGTGTTCCTGGTAAACAAACAGAAGTACTTACAGATGCATTGTATTTATATACATACCCTCCTTGTTAATTGCTTCAATCTTAGCAGGATAATATCGACAGTCTGTCCAACGAGCTAGCACCTCTTCTCCAGGTTTAAAATCCTATTTTAAACATTTTTAATTGTTAATATCTTGCCCTGCAAACCTTTCCTAAACAAACTTAAGTTTTATAACTTAGCGATATTTACTTTGAAAAATAATTAATACCATTAGGTTTGGCAGAATTCAATTTTTACTTTTTATAACTTTGACAAATAATATTGATCTTTATTTTTAAAATGTTTAGTGATCAAAATTTTGACAATTCTTGAAGGGTGGGGGTCAGAATTATTTAATGATAGTAGCTGCTGACATTCATAAAGTTAAAAGCTTTATAACTGTTAAAACACAAATTACCTATATCACGTCAAAATATACTAATTAAAATTTACAAAGTAAATATCTTTAAGTTCTCACGCAGCATTTTTTTTTATTTATTTTTTTTTACTTTGCCTATGTGTAAATTTTGATCTTAGGACTGTCAAGCCATTAATCACTGTTAAACAATAATAGAATACCATTTATTTAAATATTTTTGGATGTTTCCTACATTTTCAAATAGATTTATTTCAATTACAACACAGAATACCAATATGAATCTTTAGCTCATCTGGCACGTAAATACTTTGCAATGCCATGCAAATGCCTGTTTTCACTTTCTAGTGACATTGTAAATAAGAAGAGGGCAACATTATCTCCTGGAAATGTAAACAAACTTGTTTGTCTTAGTGATTGGCTGAACGAGAAGTAGGACTGAATGGACCTGTAGACTCTGAAGTTTTACATTGTTTTGTTTTTCAGTGCAGTTACGTAACCTAAAAAAAATAATCTATATTTGTAAGTTGCACTTTCACAACAAAGAGATTGCACTACAGTACTTGTTTGAGGTGAATTGAAAAATACTATTTCTTTTATCATTTTTACAGTGCAAATATTTGTAATCAAAAATAATATACACTTTGATTTAAGTTACTACACAGAATACAATATGTATGAATATGTAGAAAAACATCCAAAATATTTAATAAATTTCAATTGGTATTCTATTGTTTAACAGTGAGATTAAAACTGCGATTAATCGCGATAAATTTTTGAGTTAATCACGTGAGTTAACTGCGATTAATCGACAGCCCTAATTATCACTGACGGAAATATGTTTTCATCCGTTTGTGTTTTTATGGTGAAATTGATGTTTGCAGGCATTAACTGATAAAAATCTAATCCTTCCAGGCCTAAATAAAATAATTTAGGCAAGGAGTCAGAAAAAAATTAACTTGCTACTTACAACAAATTCATCATCATCTTTTAGCCCTTCTTTCCTTAGTGCTGGTCTTTCCAGGGGTCGTAATCTATTGCTGTCCCAATAAATCCACTCATCATAGCGATGACTCCAACGTTCAAAATGGACCAACATCTTCCCCTCTTCATAGTCTATTTTCTCAATGCGAGATGGATACCTTGAACAACAACAAAAGGAAAGGTGTCAACTGTGCAACTTTTTCCAGCAATGTTTTGCATAAAGACGTACTCATGTAACAGTTTAAACTACTTTGGTGGTGTTAGCTGCACCATCATTTGGTACTAAGAATCAGTTTGGATTTGAAAAAAGTTTTAAACATGTTAAATTGTTGATATGACAATACCTAGCTGCAAAATCCTCTACATACATTAAAGATGGGTCACTCTTCTGTCTTAGGGTACGTCCAGACTACCCGCCGAATTGGCGGGTAGTAATCAGTCTATCGGGGATCGATATATCGCGTCTCGTCTAGACGCGATATATCGATCCCTGAACGCGCTTCCGTTGACCCCAGAACTTCACCAAGGCGAGCAGCGGTAGCAGAGTCGATGGGGGAGCTGCGGCCGTCGATCCCATGCCGCGAGGACCCGAGGTAAGTCGAAATAAGATACATCGACTTCAGCTACGCTATTCCCGTAGCAGAAGTTGCGCATCTTACATCGACACCCCTGCCTCCCGCCACCCCGCCCCAGTGTAGACCAGCCCTTACAGCCATACAATTGTGAAAATTCAGATTTAAGGCTCAGACTACTAGGTAATGTTAAGATGCATGCCTTATTTGGGTTAAATATTGGAAGTTTCATGCTTAGCTTTGTATTCATAATTTTGTTGATTAAAGCAAGAACAGCGGCTTTGTTTCTTTTCCTGGAGGGATAGAGGGGTGGTGAATTGGCTTTAAAAAAAATGAATTCATTACTTTTAATCTAATAAACTAATAAATGTTCCACATACTTGCTTCATTGATTTCAGGCACATCCAAGCTGCTAACTAATCAAAAACAATTGGAGTTGACAGAACATTCCTTTTGAATCCAATCTGTTGACTAATTTGCAGATCAGCTCCACGGACTTTGTCGCTACCGAATCTAATGCACAGTCATTTTTCAATATTTATATTTTTTAAATTGCACATTTATTAAAACAAAGACACCAGTATTAATTAAGGACTGTGGGTTCTAATTGCCCCTCAAACTTTACATATAATCAGTAGAATCAACTACATGTGGCCCTCAATCAGAACAACTCTTCATCACCTAAAGCTAGAATTTAACATGGATTTTAACTACCCCCTACTTTGGGATTTGTATAACCTGTATTAAGTTTGGCAAAGAGACTTCCCATTTTTCAAATCTTTAGCATCTGTGGGAATACATAATAATCAGGGTGGTGCATTTAGATTCCACAAGAATCAAGCCACATTATTTAGTTTGTTTTTTTAAGGGCTATTTTGGCTTTAGGGAGCCACTAGTTGGCCAGAAATAAGGCAATATCTGGTCTTCTCATAGAATGTCCACCATCAATATAACTAGATTACATTATTTCAGTTCCATAAAGTGCATGCAAGACTGGTGTGCTAAAAAGAGAACGAATACATAAGTGGATCTGAAAACACAAAGCACCTTCTAAAACTATCTGGTGGATTTTTTAAGTTTAAGAAATTTCCTCCCACGTTAATATTTTGGGAATCCAGGTTAACCTAGAAACAATTTCTTGGGAAGTTCTACACTTCCAAAAAATAGGAGTGACAACGGAAGAGAAAACGACAGAGATCCTGGAGCTACTGAAACATTTATTGAAAAGAAATGTTACCGTGAAAGAAGGGCTGCCTATTTCCAAAGCAGGAGACTCAATCTACATTCTGCAACAATGAAAATGTTCCCTCAAGATTAAAGGGTGGCAGCTGCTGCAGTCATTTTCTATTCCTACTGCATATTCCCTTACCCTGAAGCACTGTGCCACCTGATATTGAAAGAGATACTATCAGCTTTGTTATTTTCAAATTTCTGACACAGCAACCTTTAAACAGTAAATCCTCATTTAAAAAACAAACAAACACTTTCTATGAAGTTTAGGGATTTTTTTCTTCCCTGATGCTTATCAAGTTATTTTTCAGCAAGAATGAGCAAACAGACAGCGCAATACGTGCCTGGGCCCGTCTCAATTCCCTCCTCTCTCTGTGCTCATTTCGGCCTGCCTTTTCTTCATCAGCAGCAACTAAGGTCTCCCAATATCTAAACTGCAGACCTGCAGAAGAATTCCAGGGTGTGAAGAACTCCCATCTCACTTGAAATTACCCTATTCTATTTTCCAGATTCCTATTGTTCCCTAGTGCCAGGAAGGTATCTAGGAAAGGAAGAAAGTCTTCCCAGATCTCAAATTTATATCATTTCCTGATCTCTTGTAGAGCTTTCCATCCCCAAAGCAGACAGAGTGTGTCCTCATCGTTGTGTCCTCATTGTTCCTATACAGTGCCTCTTCCCTATTTTGTATTGTTCTGTGGCTGGTAGATTTAGTTCTCTGGCTATTAGCTGTCTGGTAAAATGTCCAAGCCCTACATGGGGTGCATGTATTGGTCTGAGCAGAACAGAGGGAGGGATAAACTGGTGAAATACAGACGTGACCATGCTTTTGGGAGAAATGGAAAACAATATGAAAGGCAGAAATTGTAAATGAGGCAGTAGAGAACACAGTATATGGAAAAAGAATGAGAGAGGAAGAAGACACTCAAGACAACTTAGTAAAAGGTGCACCACAATCTAATACAGAACAAAAAAAATGAAAGACTGAAGATAGGGATATACTGTAACAAAAAATAAGATGCTGTAAGTAGGACTGGTCGAGTATTATTCAGAAAATCTATTACTTGAACAAAACCAGTGACGTTTGTTGAATATGATATTCAACAAATATATCTGTCCGCTGGTTGATCTGCTTTAGCTGTAAGATACATTTTAACAAGTTATTAGCTAGAAAAGTGACTGACAGTATTCTGTTAATATCTTTTAACTGAAATAAATGTTACATTTAAACATAATTCTGTGAAGTTATAAGGGATACCATTCCTCTGGGGTCAGAGGAGTGCAGCTGGCTGATTAGCCCCACCCACACCTGAGAAGAGAGATGGAACTTAGTTACAGTATAAAAGAGGACAGCAGGAAATGTGGGGGCAGGGGAGCATCCTGGGCTGCCTTGGTCTCTCTTTATAGGCTTATTGAAACAAATTTCGGTTGGAGTCATTCCTTAATGGGGCACACGTCCAGGAGGTAGCTCAACAGCTCCAGGACCTAGTTACCCAATGGCTATACCTGGAAGCCAAGATGGCGGTGGAGCTCATGGCCAATATTATCTTGGAACAATAGCTGCACATTCTCCCTATGGAGGTTCAAACACATCTGCCGTGGAGGAAGTGGAGACAACCAAAAGGTTCTCGGAGGCAGAATTGCCTAGGAGTTCGGACCCGAGGCCCTTCATGATCCCAATAAAAATAGGGCCAAACATGGGGAAGTGGTATGGACAAACTCTACTTCAACAGGACTTAGTCTGACCCAAAGCCACAGATCGAGAGTGATCAGTCCAGATTTCCTGCATCCATGGAGAAATCCGTACATATCCAATGGCATCTGTAATTTTGCAGGCAGCAGACCAAATAGGGCACCTCCAGATAGGATCACCTACCCCGGCCAGTGAACCTGGGACGCAACTGCACACATCTTCGGACCCTCCTCGGAAGAGAATCTGTTCCCTCCACCTCAGACACCCTTAAGATGCAAGAAAAACCCCCCACACCCAGATGCCTGGGACCTATTCCCCATTGTTCACTCTGATCTTTTTGAAGTCTCATGAAGGTCCCAAGGCTCACAGAAACAGCCAAAGTCATCTCAGAAGGGAGGACGAGCCTAGGTCTGTGCCAGAGGTGACACCATGGAGCCTGAAGAAGAACCTTCCCAAAGGATAGGCCCTAGAGAAGGAACACCCCAACAGTCTGTAAGTTATCCCCTACCCACATACACTGCAGAGCTCCTTCCCGTCCTAGACAATAGCATCCTGAGTTACACCTTTGACATTGTGGCAGCTCAACATGATGACCAGAAACTCTGGGAATGTTTTAACCAATTCAGCACAATCAACAAGATGGTCACCTCTGAACACGTATCTCACCAGTTGCCCCGCTTTGAATTCCATGAGACATCTCCAAATTAAAGAACCCAGATATGAACTCCTAGTCCCCAAGCCCGATCAGTGGGAGTTGCTATGGCCAGCCCATACTCTTCCATGGCAAGACACCTAGGTAAGGTGAAAACCCAAGAAAAACTGTTGGCCTGATTCTTTTGGCTAGGGATATATAAAGAAGTAGCTGATTTCTGCTGACTGTGCCCCAACTGACAAAAAGTAACCCCAAAGAGTTGGAGCTGGGCCCCTTTCATGTCCCTTTTGAATAGGTAGGGATTGATATAATAGGCCCAGTCACTTTTGGTACTTGTGGACAATGCCACTTGATATCCAAAGGCAATCCCCCCATGAAACACCTTGCCTCCAACATAGCGCAATAGCTACTCCAAGTGTTTTCCCAGGTTGCCCTTCCATTGGAAGTCATCACCGATCAAGGGACAAATTTCATGTCCCAGGTGCTCCAGCAAGTTTGAGCACCATTGAAAGTATGACCTCTCCAGACCACAATCTATCATCCCCAGCTGGATGGTCTGGTGGAGCAATTCAGTAAGACCCTCAAGAATACGTTGAAGGCTTATGGGAACAGAGGCCAAAGACTGGCACCAGCTGCTCCCCTATCTTTTGTTTGCAGTGTGAGAGGTACCACAAGCCTGAACGGGCTTCCACCCTTTCAAGCTTCTTGATGGGAAACAGCCTTGAGGAGTGTCAGACTTGGTTAGAGAGTCTTGGTAAGCTAAACCCACCCACTCTGCCACTGTCCTTCAATGTCTCATTCAAATGAGGGAAAGATTAGAATGCTTGAGGGCCACTTTCCCCAAGCTAACCTCTCTCAGGCCTTGCAGACCCCAATGTGACAATATAGTAAAGGGTCTAGAGCTAGAAGACCGAGTTCCCAGCAAGCTCCTGGCCAACTGGCAGGGCCTGCATGAAGTGCTTCACTGGGTAGAACCAGTAGATTACAAAATTCATTGTCCAGACCAGAGAAAAC